TAATGATTTTTTTTTTTCTAGAATGCTCTTTAAAAATGAAGATCATACACATCTGTTCCTTGCCTTAGTATAGATCCAAAATACATAGACAGTCTTGCAGGAAATCTGGGTAGTGCGAGTTGTATATCTGTCTTCCTTTCCCCCGCCCCCCACTCCAGAAGAAAAGCTGTTCTTGGAAAAACTACATGCAGACTTTAAAGTTTTCTCCAGTAATTCTTACTCCTATTTCAAAAATCTTGATGTTAATCTGATCCTCTGTTTGACCTCTGACAAACATGAATTTTGGCACAGTCATGAAATACCTAGTCATACGGTGTGTTTACTAAAGTGTTGAGGTTAATCCAAGCAGATGTCAGTGTTTAAGCAGTGGCAAGTCATAGAGCCTGTAGCTACTTTTGCTCTTTAAGCCAAAATATTGTGAAATGTGGTTGGCATTTTTTTTCTTTAAAAATACTGAAGGCTAGCACATTGGGCCAGTTTTCATTAGAGCTGCACAGGTTACTAATGACAAACTCTCCCAAGCTGTCTGGGGGAACAGAGTTGTATCATTGTTGGGCTAATTATTAAATTAATGTAAATGTTAACTGGGTTTTAACGTATGAAGTGAATGTCATGCTGGTGTTGTAAGGATGCTACAAGCAGCTGGTGCGACATGGAAGGCAGTATTGCATAGTAATTACTGAAGCTCGAGTCTGGTAGGTGGGCTCCTGGGTTTTTTTTCTTTTCCAGCTCTGCAATTGATTGACTTTCAGAGACTTTTACTAATACTTAACTTCTGTAGTTCTCAAAAAAAAAAAAAAAATCAATGATTTACTACTTGTGCAAGTAATTGAGACTTCTGTACTGGAATTCATGGAAATTAGAGAGGAATATTTTACTCATGGCATTTCTGGCATGTGAGTCTGCAAACTCTGTTCCAAGACTTTGCCAAAGTCTGAAAGCTATCAGGCAATAAATGTATGACAGTCAAACCAGAGCAACAAGAGAGAGACTGAAAGGCAGAATATTTGGTTAGAAATTCTCAGAATACTGTGCCGTTCAGCCTTGGTCTCTTCTGAGGTGATGCAGGCAACTTCTGCAATAAATTTTTTCCTTTCTTGGTCACCCTAGTTGCCTTCAAAATAGATTGTAATTTCCTGCTGTAGGAGATGCTACCACCTTGAATGCTTTATGTTTGTCATGTTGAAGTATCCCTGGATTCCTAAGATTGCCAATGCAAACAGCCGTAAACTCCATGTCTTGCTAGGATCTTGTGTATGTGAATGAATGCTTGTAAAATACTTAAAGATGTTTATCACTTATTATTTGCTGTGAAAGCTGCTGTATTGCCAAGGGGGGGGAAACGTCTTCTGTTCATTCTGGATGTTCTTCACTATATGAGTTTTTGGAAAAGAGAATTGTTTGAGGTATTTTGGAAACTTACTTTTAGCAGCTGTGTTGCTTTTCAGAAATGAAGGGGAGAAACATGATAGACCTTTGAAGCCTAGTCTCAATTAGCAGTAAAATCAGTGAGGAACTGTATTGTGAAACAATTCTTTTTCGTATGTTTAAATCATAGTTTTTTTTTTAATGGTAATCAGTATTTTTGTTTCCATTTGAATAAATAAATAGAAATTAGTTTTAACTATACTGTCCAAATAGCAATTTATTGGTGACTCAGTGTTACAGTATCTATTGCATAGGTGAAAATTATTATTATGAGTCCATTGACATTTTATCTGGATAATGCAACTCCACTTTTTTGATTTAAGTTGTTTCTATATAGCTGTATAACTGTTCAAACCTGCTAGCTCTGCTTGCATTACCAGAGCTTTAGGGCTGTTGAGTTAAAAATATATATAATCTGTTTTTCTCATGCAGCATGTATCAGGGCTGAGAAAGACACTAATACTCTGGATTTGAAAGGCATATCCTTTGCATCTCCTGTATTCAGGAACAGCTTGTCTCCATTAGAAAAAATAAAAAAGATGAGAGAGAAAAAAAAAAAGAAGAATGATTTGGCTTTGCTTAAATTTCAGAATCCCGCTTGGAGAAACCAACTGGGAGAGGATGGATGTTTAAGACAATCACCAGGATATTGTGATCATGCATAGGCAGTCAGAGACAGTTGTTGGGTAACTTGTCGAAGTGTATTTCTTAGAAGACTTCACAGAACTGAAGAGCAAAGGAGTCTGGACAGAGTAAAGCTTTTATTCACTCTGTCTAGATGGTTTGCAGAAGAAAGTCATGGGTAGGGAGATGGGTGAGGTACAAATCAAGGGCCGAGTGGCTGCCTCTGTGAACTGTTTCTTCCTGGGTCCTTGTGACCAGCTGAAGTATTCTCTCCTCCCTCCCTCTGGTGTTTATCAAAGTGGTTATTTTTTCATTGCATGCTGAAATGAGTAAAGAGATACCTGTTTCTTGGTATATAGAGAAGAGGTGGAGCTGTATTAATGTGATTGTACTTTGTATGCATAAAAGTGTAGGACTGGAAACATTTGCCCGGTTCCTCAGGGCAGGTCCCAAGGAGGACTGACATTGCTTAGGACTTGAAAACCTGCTGCGACCTCTTTGCTAAAACACATTGGTAAGAGGTCACGGTCAACCTAAAACTGTCTAAAACTGGAGTGTGCAGCTCTGATGCAGATTGACTCCTGCGGCTGCTTAAATGGTACAAGTGGTTGAAATTCATAGGACGCTGGTAGTGTAAATGCATATGTGTTGGTAAATAAAGTAAACTAATAAGCCTCAATGTGCTTCTCATAGGCAGAGTTTAAATTTTTCCATTCTACCTTCAAAATTAAATGTCTAACAAAACATTTGGTACTTAAAGAAAATAAATAGTGAGTCTGTATTTTCCTGCCAAGTGTATTACCAAATGTCTTGGTTGAATAGCAAGCTACTGAAAGGGCCTAGTTTTCTGCATTGTGGAGGTTCTGTCATTTGATTTAAATGCAGTGTTTCAACCTTTGTATCCTTCTGTAAAACTGCAAAACACTGAAGGGGGGGAAAGAAGGTGAAGCAGTCCTGCTCTGGCAAGGAGCATGTGGAAATAGCATCATGCTCAGATGTGAATTTGTTGCCTTTGTAACAGTAACCAAGTGTGTGCTTTCAGTCTGGTCAGAGGGCTTTCTGGAGATGGAAGGGATGTACAGCAACCTTTTCACTCTGGTTACTAATTTATCCCTTCCTCTTTAATCTGAGTATGCCTGATGTCGATCACAGCAAACTTTAACTTTAGTGTGACTAGAAGCACCACAGCAGCAAGGTGCAGCTCCGAGCTGTAAAAGAGATGCAAGAAGCTGGGGAAATATTTAGTCCGTAATTAATTCTGCTCTGCGTGCGTGGCTTCCTACTGTTACCTGAGATAGCAAGGATTATCTTTGGTTTTCCTGCGCAAGCTGCAGCATAGATGTATCGTTAAACAGCTCTGAAATGAGAAGGTTCCTTCTTTGTTACAGTAGTTTTTATCTTACTAAAACAATTCTGTTCCACAGTGTAAGTGCATCTGCCATGATGTTAGGATTGTGCGTCTGTGTTACCATAGTGAATGGAAAAACAACCCTAGCAGGTTTTGAGGAGCAGAATATTAGGCTTGGACAAGTCTTAGGGCAGATGACCTCCTTGTGGCCGTGTGAAAAAAAAAAACCTGGCGAGCACTCAGATCCTTTATGCATAAATATTAGTTGTCTGCAGACTGTCTGGCAAGAAGAATTATTATAATGAGAGGATATAACTGTTTATCTAATCTTGCTCCTTTGCAGCCTCACGTGCCTTCTCTGAGCCTAGATTCACCTTGGTATGATAACTGACCACTGTTAGCACAGGGAATAAGGCACTGGGCATTGACGGTCTGTACTTCTCCAACTGGTAAACCCATTCTGATAGCTAGAATAAGGGGTTTTTTTGAATCATTTCTGCCCCAGAGCATTTGTTGCCTGGCTAATTTCATGGCTCTAAAGTTAAGCAGCAAGAGTTCTGCGTGACAGCGTTAGAGAAAGAGCCTGTTTCACAGAGCATGCCGTTCAGCTGCATGCACAGGGTCAGTATGAGATTTAAACCCTGTTTAAGACCTTCTTAAGCTCCTTGGACTTAACTGCTGTGTAGATTGTTGCCTTGCAGAACTAAGGGAGTTTGAAGTGGTAAGAATAATAGGTAAATTATTTTTGAGGAGGTTTGGTTTTGGTTTTTTTTGCTTTATTTTACTTTGTGGATATTTTATTTTTGGCAGGGAGGCAATGACCTGCTGCAGTCTGGGAAATGTGAGCTTGAATTTTGACGTGTATTCTTTTTGGATGCAAGTCACTTAGGACTCAGAATTACATTGCTAAAATAAGTGGGAACTTTATAGGTTTCTATGGGATCATGAACGCCTTCTACCTCTGTTTAGTAGTTTTCCATATTGAGAAGGGAATAATCTGTTTGTACTCATAAATGTTGTTGTGGTTTGTTCTTTGCCAGGCTGACCTGAAGAATTCTGGTAGTTTCTGCCTTTTTTGAGGAGTCTGAAAAATGCGTTGGCATAAAACCTTGACTCCCATCCCAATACTTTGTTTCCTTAAAACAAGTGTTTTGCTAATTAAAAGGTGATTAAGTGGTTTCCTGACTTTTTGTTACTATGCAAAGGATTTGTTGTGGTTAGATAATGATGAGAGAAATCTCTACTGTTGTGGAAGAGAGATAATTACATAACTATTGTGAGGAAAAATTAATAATTTTTACCTTTAATTGTGGTGTGTCACTGGGCTCTTAGCAATTGTTCACTTCATGTTTTAAAGCAGTAGTATCTACATAGAATGTGCAAACTAGGCATGTTTGGTTTTTGAATGGGAAAGTGAAAAGGGGTTTCGCTCTTAAGGTCTGTGCTTTAAGTTCCAAAACTCATTTAATGGAAGAGTAACCTATAGAATGCATTTCCTGATGTGTAGACCTGCTAAGGTAACAGGCAGCACTCTCAAAATGTGTATTTTCACTCCCTTTCAGGTAATTGAGAATGGGTCCTCAACGATGCTAAGTCTACAATGGGAAGTGTCACACTTCGCTATTTCTGCTATGGGTGCCTTTTCACATCCGTGACCTGGACACTGCTGCTCTTTGTTTATTTCAACTTCAGTGAAGAGAACCAATCCTTCAAGAATGTGCCCATCAAGGGGCTGGAACCTCAGAGGCCATTTCCAAAAAAATTCTACCCTCGTTTTACACGGGGGCCAGTTCATATACCTGAATTGCAACAGAAAGAGAGTAAGATAGGAAATCCTATTGGAAATCATGTCCAGGATCCAGTTAAGGGGGAGGTAGAATTCTCTCCTGAAATGGGTAAGTGCTTTTCAATTTTGGTGGCAAACTTATTAGAAGAGTAGGAGAAAATACATATTAAGGTTTTTTTAAAGAGTCTCAGGGAAAATTGAGTAATGAAGTAGTTTTCTTTGTTAAAATGCAGGTGGTACTAGTGGCTCTCTTCATTAGGAATTACTTCAAATTTATTCTACTGTGTTTAATGCAAAATATACTGTTCCTAAAATTTACAGCTGTGCTGTGTAAGTGCTAATGAGGAGGACTGTATTACAGAAAGGTGTCTATCCTTGATGTAGTTTCTGCTTTTGGAAGGTTCAGTGTATGCATGTTTCATATCTTATTCCTATATTGATTGGGCTCAAATACATAAACTTTAATTAGCTAGAGAGAAACTCTGCTCATATTCAGTAATTAAAAATAGCTTGGTAACAATACACAATGAAGAGGACCTATTGATTTGGAGAATATCCTTGGAGGATGAAATCATCTACAAGAAATGTGTGTGGAACAAAATTACAATGAAAGATTTATTGAGATGAGAGTGATTAGGGCCAAATCCTGCTTACTTTGTACCAACAAAGATCTGTGTGTTTCATTGGAGCATATTTCATCAATGAGATGATTTGGTTTTGTTTTCCAAATTTGCCTTCCAAACTAAAATGCTTTGTGTATTTAACTGCTCACAGCTTATTTGCTGCTGCATTCAGATGTACAAACTGAGGCATGTTGTGTACTGGCTTGCAAACTTGCCTTAAGTCCAGAGGCAGATGCTGAGTGTTGTGGTATTGGTTTCTGCTGCTGCTTTGGGAAACACGGCATAGTAACCTTCATAGCCAGGAGTTTAATACTCGTATCAGACTGAACTCCTCTGTCATTACTTTGGATGAAAGGTGGATCACGAGCTTCAAGCTCCAACTTTACTAAACTTCGGTTTCCAAGTTGGTCATTAGACCTAGGTGAACATGTAGGAAGAATGCCACTTCATGTTGCCTTGTGGCATTACGGATGCCCTTGACATGACAAGGGGTAATGGTTTTAAACTAAAAGAGGGTAGATTTAGACTTGACTTAAGGAAAAAGTTTCTTACAATGAGGGCGGTGAAGCACTGGAACAGGTTACTCAGAGAGGTGATGGAAGCCCCATCCCTGGAGGCATTCAGGGTCAGGCTGGATGGGGCTCTGAGCAACCCTATCTAGTTGGAGAAGTCCCTGCTCACCGCAGGGGGGTTGGACTAGATGACCTCTAAAGGTCTCTTCCAGCCCGAATGATTCTATGATTCTATGTTTATCAGTTCACTGCAAAAAGCATGAGAGGCAAGTGAGGTGAAGGCCAGTCCAGAGGTGGCCATTTCTTTCCAACTATTCAGTATGAGCCAGGAAAGAAATTGAGCTTTTAAACTGAGAAGTCCCTTGATCTTCAAACCAAGTGACTGGTTTGGTTGGTGAAAGCCAAGGGGAATTACAGTGCCAGGATAAATTCTACATGAATCATCAGGAGGCAGCTGGCGCTCTGTTAGAATTAGATCAGGTGCTGCAGGAAAGGGCTTCCTGTCTATCTAGGGTGAGACAGTGATAAACATGCAAACCAAAAAACATGAGAAGTTGGCTCATGATAGCCAAAAGCAAACTGTCATCTAGTAGGGCAATCTATCTTTTTTTCTCTTTTAAAAAAATTAATCTGAGAGCACCACATAACACTGCTGAAGTAAAGCCTAAACTGATGTTTTGATTGCAAAGCCCTTATTTTCCAAGGGCTTTTATCTGCTGTTTGAACTGAAATCTTTCAGACCTTTTGCATGCATTTGAATGTTGTTCTTCATGAGAATGTTTAAAAAAATATTAGCAGTCCTTCTCGTCTACATTCAGAAGATCAGAAAAGAGTAGTTAGCAGTTGGGTATGGATGGATTGTAAAATCAAACATTTGGTATGCGTTTCTTAAGCTCATGCTTTGTATGAAGAAAATGTTTTAAGTTGACCCAGTGGCAGAGTGTTATTGTGACGCTGAGTATGCACGAATGATTGAGCTGGGTGTCTGAACTGACAAGCTGGAAGCCTTACTTTGGAAATGCCCGTGGTTCAAAGGAAGACTGACTTAGCCCTTTAGACCGCTCGTGCTGGAAGAGCAGCACTGCTGCTGTAAACTGACCTCACTCCTGCCCCCACAATGCAACTTATCCACAGTGGGAGCACTCATCCATGAATAATACAGCAAGTCACCACAAGACACACTGTGTGGGTGTCTCCCATGTCTTTTGCAGATATCCCTACCCAGCGCTTCCCCTTTGGTCCTGTGCAAATGTCAAGGCATCTACTCTTGAGGTGTTTGATCGTGCAGCTGCGTTGCCGCTGCTCTACTCAAGGCTAAAAGCAACAGGGTGGTAAATGTAAATGGTGCGAATGTGGATGCACAGAATTCCCTCCAGAAGGTCATCTTGCACTTATGGGTAGACTTTGTTGCTGAAACACAACTGGTAGTGACACAGCTGTGCTCTTAAGGCCAAACAGGAATGCTTGTTTGAAAAGGACAAGAAAAATGGAGAACACAAGGTGCGAAGAAGGGAGGATTGGTTTTATTGTGCCTTAGAGAGAAGGCTGTGGGGTGAGATTTTTGTTGTTGTCAAGAGCAGCTTAATGGGAGGCTGTAGGAAAAGCCAGACTCTTTCCAGAGGTGCATAGGAGTACGATAAGAAATTGGAGTGAGGAGGAGATTTCAGTTAGGTAAGAGGAAAAACGTTTTCAGTGCGGTAGTGGCCAAATGCCTGAACAGGGAAGTGAAGAGGTTGTAGATCTCCATCCTTGGAGATACTGGAGGCTTTCAGAACCGGTGCAGTTCAGTTTTGAGCAACCTTATCTAGTTGGACATGCTTTGAGCACGAGATTAGACCAGATGTCTCTTCCAACCTAAAAGGCTTTCAAAACTGAACTGCACCGGTTCTGAGCAACCTTATCTAGTTGGACATGCTTTGAGCACGAGATTAGACCAGATGTCTCTTCCAACCTAAATTAGTCTATGATTTTGTGAAACATATTATCCTGGATGTATGGTAGCATGTGAATGAGAAACCTGCTTGTTAATTATTTTCTGCAGATTTTGAACACTATGGAGATGATGGCAGAATGGAAGGAGATAAATTACATGATCCTTGCTCACTTCTTGTACTGAAATTTCAGTGAAATTGCCTCTGTAGCTTGATAATAGCTGGAAAGGACGTATGCATCTCATTCTGTGCAGCCAGCTGAACAAAGACAATTAAAAAAAAAAAATCATTGCTCTGCTATCTGAATTGTTGCAGAAGTGACTAGCAGACGTAGATGGTGGCAGACACACCTCCCTCCTCTCCTCTTTTTCTGTAGAAGAGTTGAGTGAAGTACCATAATACTTTGTTTCTCTTCTCAGTGGTGAGTATATGGCTCTGTGAGAGAGGCCCATGGCACTGAGTCAAGACAGGCAGGATGGCATTGAGGATTTCATCTTGGCCTCTAGCAGTGTGCTTACTTATACCAGCAGCTGCTGCCTCCGCCATGCTCTGCAACAGCCGATGCTTCTGCTAAAATAATCAGTAGAGAAAGTTAGCTCTGTTGCTATTTTACTTGCTGTCAAAGTCCCAGGTGAGATAAAGAAGATGTTTACAGTTCTTTCATAGCTATTTTTATGTTACTGCAGACTTGAGAAAAGTGTGTGAAATTGGAGCTGCTATTGTGAGGGTTTTTCTACCATTGCAAATTCATTTTCTCTCTCAAAAATCACATTACAGACCCTTCATCTATATGGATACGTGCTGATGCATTGTGTGCTGAAGTCTATTCTCTGTTGCTTGTTTGATGTTGGTTTTTAGGTGGTGCTAACAATTAGAGGCCATTTAAGTGAAGGGAGTGTATCTGGCAAGGCAATAAACACAATGGAGCCATCAGTCTTTGGAGAATGATTTCATTTTGTTACAGCTGCAAGGGCTACTTATAAGTACTACCTATTTGTGAGAGGTAACAAAAATAGTTGCACAAAAATACTCTTTGCAAAACCAGAGGGATTTTTGAAGAACGTAATGGGTTTTAGAGGAGGTGAAAGCCTACGTTTCAATCCTTGATTGTTTCCAAAGGTATTTTTGAGCCTGTTAACTGATCTTGGTATGTTTCTTTTGCAGGGATGATTTTTAATGAAGAAGATCAGGAAGTGAGAGACTTGGGCTATCAGAAGCATGCTTTCAATATGCTTATCAGTAATCGACTGGGATACCACAGGGAGGTGCCTGATACAAGAGATGCAAAGTATGTGCTAATTTTTGGAGAGAACATGGTATAATTTCATGTGCTCAAGGATTTGTTACATTATATCTGATGTTGTATTTAACATTGTTAGTATTACATTTCTGTTAAACACTTTCAGCCTCCTGTGTTGCTGAAGGCAGATTTTCAGATATTTAAACAGGAGTGCTTGAGGTTAGGATTTTTTTTGCTTGGTCTTTTCTGGCTTTTTTGACCGAGTATTGTTTCTGGAGATGTAATATTTTACCAACTAGAAAGTGATAGCTAAAGCCCCACAGAAACCAGGCTCCATGAAAAAAGAAAGACTGCTACTGCCTGAAAGCAAAATTTTTTTTTTCCTGACTCCTAATTCACTTTAAGAATGGTTAATGAAGAACTGGATTGGATATACATTTATTCAAACTCGTATCATACTAATTTAATTTTTGTGAGTAGTAGGAATGGCAGACAGCTATTTTGATAGAAACAAGATTCAGAAAATAATACTTTAAATAAAAATCAATGTGGAAAAGGAGTCAAACTTTCTTTCCAGCAGTACTGGGATAACGTGTCCTGTCTCTTCCATCTTGCTAGCTGTGTACTCGGTTACTTAAAGCATACTACAATATTTTTATTTTTTGAAGCTTCATTTTGAGATAGTCGGTACTGTAAGTACCAGAAGAGATACTGTAATTGTTTGCTAACTTTGAAAGATGGACGTTAAATGTTCCAGTGCCCAAACTAATGAGACTTTCACCTTATGTACTATTTCAGTTTTGTTGTAAGCCTACAGAGGCTAAGATAGAGGAATGACTGATGACAAAGGCTCTCTGTTTCTCAGTTGAAGTCTTTGCTTGGTATCTGGATCGCACTGCTCTGAATACTTTCTATTAAAAGGCAGATATTTTTCTATAATCTGTCTAATGCATATGGGGGGAAAAACCCCACCGCTGTAACAACAATAAAAAAACCCAACATTGAATCCAAAAAAAAAAAAGAAACCTTCATCTATTTTTCTAGTGGTTTCTCTGGTGTTGGTAAATGTAATGAATCGTAGTTGCTGAAATGTCTCTCCCAAGAGCGGAGTTCATTCCAAGTCAATGAAGACTTTTCTTGTATACTTCTGGGTTTTCATTTGTAGTTTCTTATTTTTATTGAATTTCCTAATGCCTGTCATCTTCATATGGCATTAATCTGTGATACTGTGCACTATTAGAAGTATGGACAAAATTTGAAAATTAGGGGAAAGAAAGAGTGATCTTCTGCTTTGGGTGGGATTCAATTTGCAGATTAAGATGCTTAAATTTAGATAACTGCATGTTAGTCAGTTGTCTCTGCTTTTATTGTGTTTAGCAGAGGTCCAGTCAACGCAGTTAATGAAGCATGCAGAGCTCTGCAGCTGACAAAATGCACTTGTCAGCCTTAGGGTGAGCTGAACACTATCTAGACTCCACTGACAGCAGTGACTAGATTTAAGTGTTTTAATCTGCAGGCTGAATTCCAGCCTTGGTTGTCTAAATAGGTATTTAGCACCATTGGAGGTATTCTGGGATATCCAACCTAGTCTCCAGCAGCTCACCAATAAAGTTGTGGGGTTTTTTTGTATCCCTCGTGTCATATTTGCCATTCCTGCACATGTCTGAGCTACCCGAGGGTACTAGACGGTGTTTTGACAGCTGAAACAAGCCCTTAGTGTTCCTCTTGTTTATGCCTTGAGGATCTGTGATTCTTACTCCCACCCCAATCCATGACATCCCCTGTTTTCTAACAAGTAGCAATGTTAATTTTAAGTCTATATTACGTGGAGAGTAACTTACTATGTTGAGTCCTTCTGTAGATGTTATATGCCTGGGCTCTTTATGTTCAAGTTAGGGGTTCTTCCTACACATTTAATGTTTGCTTGTTATTTATTAAGTTTCATTAGTGACCTAGCCCTATGGAAAGCCCACTGAAAATAAAACGGTAACTGCTATATTTCTGGTTGCAGATGTAGAGAGAAGTCCTACCCTTCTGATCTACCATCTGCCAGTGTTATTATCTGTTTCTACAATGAAGCACTTTCTGCCTTGCTTCGCACAGTACATAGTGTCCTGGATCGCACTCCTGCACACCTTCTTCATGAAATTATTTTGGTGGATGACAACAGTGAATTGGGTGAGAACACCTTTCAGTAATGTTTTGTTCGGTGCTTATACTTCTTGACCTTCCTGTCTCTTCCTGTGCTTTATTGACTGGTCAAAATAAAAATGTGGAAGCCATGATGCAAACCCAATTTGTACTGCAGTCCGTCTTCAAAAAGTGCAAGCCAGTAGAGACGCATGATGTTCTGAGAAGCCCAAGATGACATTCCCTTTGCCACCGGTGCCGTTTTGCTGATGAGCTTTGTATCATACAGACTTCTAACGTTCAAAACCAGGTTTCAAAGCTCATAATGAGGAGTGTGTATTTGCACAGGGGGTGATTAAGCAGTTCTTTATAGTTCAACTGTTTTTAACAGTACCTTGTTTGGGCTGCCCCGGTGCTCAGAGCAGATGACAGCAATCTTTCTGTAAACTTTGTGGGCCAATACTAACTGTGAATGCATCTGAAAGGAATAGAATGCATATAATCTGAGCTGCCATCTTGCACATAAGTTGATGTGGCGCTATGGAAACAATGCTTCAGGTTTTTTTTGTGCTTGCTCAGCATTTCAGACTGGTGGTATGCTGGGATCAGCCTTGCCTTTGCTGGGAGAGCTCTGCGTGGGTCTCGCACAGCCTCTTGTGGCCACCCTAGGAGTAGCTGGCCCTGGCCCTTGGTGGAGCTGCCTCTGCTCCCTCAGCCTGGGAGGGGTCCTGGAGGGGTAGACCTTGCAGAGTTGCTTTACTGTTGTTGAAAGATTGATGCTTCGGTATTTTTCTCTCGAATGATGGACAAGGCAAAGACGGACAAGCAATTCAAGCGTTTTGGCCCTTCAAAAGCAAAATGCCTGTTGAGGAATGCGTTGGTGTAGCAGTATTTGCCAGCAGAACTGTGGAAGTTCCCGGCTTGCTGCTGTACAAGTCCACAATTTTATGCATTTTTTGAAAATATTTTTAGACTTTAAAAAATTTTTTTAGTACATGTAATTAGCTCCCTTGGTTTCATCATTTGGTGTCTGGGTTAAGGTCTCACTTGCTCTAAGAGACTGATTAGATATGTATAATGTGGAATGAAAATCTTTTGTTATGCAGCTGGTTCATTTCTCTGAGGTCAGATCAAATGTTAAGATACAGGAGAGAACAAAGATCAAACACTCTGTCCCTCGCTGATAAGAATGCATAATATTTGAAAGCTTGTTTTGTTGTTTTGCATTTCGGAAGCAAGATGCACTCTTTGCTACAAAGACTCTTGTTCAATTTGTTGTTTTAAAGTTTCATAACCTTCGTATTCAGAACTAAGCTTACTTCAAAACTCAGTCTTTTGCATACGGTAATGCATTTTGTTAATACCTGTGTTTAGGCAGTAATACCATCGCTCTTCTGGTCTGTCTGCCTCTCTCCAGAGACTTTTCTTTGTCCTAGAATATTCTCTAGCACTATGTTTGCTATGTGGTACCTCCTCATTCTTGATCTGTGATGCGGCCTTGCAGTGCAAAGGCTGAGATCTTAACATATGGAATTGCTTCTGGGAATCTCCTTTTCAGTTCCTGCCTGAAAGTTCTTGTACCTTCTGAAAGTTTCAGCTCTGACTTCCACATATATTCCTTTGGCATTTGATCTTGTTAACAGCAACTTTAATGTTTAAACTGACATTCATCAGAATAATAATATTAATTCCAGGATATCCCCTGTTGAAAGTCTGTCTGCCTCTGTGTACCAAGGTTCTCTGTGAAGTCTCAGCTGGCTTTTTGTTTTTCTTCCTCATTTTATATTCCTTTTTATTTCTCCATAAGCTTATTAACTTATGTTTTTCCATTGCTTCAGTCTTCGTGTGTCCATCTTCTCTTCTGTGGTCCTGCTTTAATGTTATAAACCACTGTCCTTGGGTGAAAAAAGTATTGTTACTCTTAAAATTGCCATTGATGTTAAGTTACAGTAGTGCCTATAGACTTCAGTGAACTTTGCTCTCCTTCAAAAGCACATGCTTGCCAGCAGTGTCTTTGATCCTTTTGGATTTTAGAAAAGCGACCACCTGTGAGTGAGTTGTACTTTGTATCTGCTGTTGTATCAGCTAAGCAGGTACTGATAATGAAAGGTGTTTTCATGCTTCTTTTCAAAGGTGTCAGCTTTTGTTTTAGTGTATGGAACATAGTGATTTAAATCACTTGCCTATATGAAAGGACTTTCATTACTTCTGCTGCAGATGATAGTCACCATGAGAAGAATTTGGAAATGCTATTTCTTTGTACAGTACCTTTTATTATTTTATATTATTTTTTTATTTTATATTATTTTTTTTAATTTATATT